GTTTGGCATTGGGTATCTATCAGAAATTGTTTTTTCGTTAAGCTTTCTGAAATCAATAACGAGTCGCCATTTCTGTTGTATCCCTTTCTCTGTTTTCTTTGGAACAACCCATACGGGTGCTCTCCAAGGCGAAAAACTGTTTCTTATTATTTTTTTATCAAGAAGTTCAGAAATTTGTTTCTTTATTTCTTGTTTATGAATAAATGGCTGACGATAAGACTTAACGTGGATTGGAATATTATCTATAGTTGGGATCGAGTGTGTTATTTCGCTACTGAAGGTTAGTTGGGTGTCTTCTTTATAAAATATGTCTGAAAAGTCTGAGCAAATTTGGATGAGCTGTGATTTCTCCTCTTTATTTAGGTTTTCTGTAATCAGAATGTTGGGTTTAGACTGTGTAAGGCCTTCGAGGGTTGGTGCATTCACAAGGTTGTGGAGTTGGATGTTTTATTGTTTTTGAACTTGATCGTCGGTTGATTCGTTGACCAATTCGAGGCTTGCAACACCTTTGGTAGCAGTGTATAATCCACCAGAAATGGTAAGGTGTTTTGACTGTTTTGGACTGGCAATGGTAATAATGTCTTGCTAGAGCTACAAATTTCGTGGACGTGAATGGTAGTGTCGACTTTCGTGAGGATGGGTAAAGTCACAAGAGGGGTTACTAGCTGTCGTGTTTGTAAGACAATTTTTGCACTTAGTTTTGTTAGTATGTCCATACCTAGAAGGCCGTTAAAGAAGGTGTGGAATTTGAAAATTAATAGTTGTATGTTTGTTGACTCGTTGAATTCTTTGAATAGAGGTATATTTGTAGAGTTTGTAATTTCGTGACTGCTAAGAACGGTATTTATTCTAATGGGTAAGTCTAGTGCTGTCATCTTATCTAGCGTTATTAGATTTGGTTCAATAAAAGAATTTGTTGATCCAGTATCTAACAGGAATTTCAATGGTGTATTATTAAACGAAGTTATTCTTATGTATGGTAGACATGCTTCGTATTTAGGTAGAGTTAAATGTTTGTGGAATTGTTGATGTTGCATGAATTAGGGTCTTGCGTTTCTATATTGTTTAAATGTCTCTGCTCATTGTTTTTTTTTTTTTTTGTTTTATATAGGTTATGCATGCGTGTTTTTTTTTTGTTAAAATGTGATTTTTTGTTGTTTTAAATGTATATACACTTGTGTGTATATTGATAACTACAACAAATTACAAGTATCTAGCTCTTATACGTTCTGATTGACGTGTTCATACATACCAGCAGAGAGACAAAAGGAAAAATTATTAAAGGAAGAGAGTACTGCGGAGAACACGTTGCTTAATTTATTTATTTTATTTATTGAAACTTAAATGTAAAATTTAATGTGGAAATTTATTGAATGTAACGGACGAAAATTGTTGGTTGCTTTGGAAGAGGGAATCCTCAAAAGATTGACAAACACTTATTATACGCACGAACATCACAACACATAGTATTGTATTTAAAAAGTTGTATGTTCGATGATCGAAAATATGGGATCTCAATATCAGCCCGCTTCTAGGGCTTAATCCTTACCAATATACTCAATTTTTAGCTTGAGCAGAGTGCTGAGTCTAAACTGTCAAGAATATGCAGGTTTACGAGTCGTTATTATGGGTCATGGGTTACGGGTTATGATCAAATTTCAAAGGTCAACGATCAAAGGTCAAAGGTCAAAAGTCAAATTTGACGACCATGAAATCAAAACTATCGTTGCAATAGATATGATCCCGTAACTCTTGTTACAAGCTCCATTATCATCATTATAAGTCAGATGTAAATAAATGCTCTCTCTCTTATGTAACCTTACCGAAGGAAGACCTAAATTCTATCATGCTGCAACTAAAATTAAATAATAGTAATAATATAATAATACTAATAATAGGTTTTATTCTAATGTAAAATCATCAGTTCAGTTTAACTCTTCTTATGGACTAAAACATCGAGACAAACATACATGTGTAAGCCCCTGATACTGGTTACATAAATTAAATATATAAGAAAATAACATAAGCAGAGATTTTCTTAGTAGGCTCTTCTGCAGCCAAGTACAGTTTGTATTATATAAATATAAATAAAGGAATATAAGGGTTAATGTTGATTTGTTAGCATGCGCAAGATATCAAGTTACCATAACCGATCATTGCGATCAAGCCGCTGAATTGAGCTGCTACTGTGTTGGCACCATGAGCTCGATCGTTAGCCAATAATATTTACGTTACCAACTATGTGTGAGATGCACTTATAGACTCTGAGAGAATTATGGGCGAGGAGTAGTCGTTAAGATATATGAAGTTTGGGCCTTGACCCACATACATTTTTTACAGCTCACAACCGAATTGATTCGGAAGAATTAAATAAACTTGTTAATTAAGTTAATTTTAATTAATTATATGGCCCAGGCTACAACAGTCAGCAGCGGTAACCGGATATTCTCAATATGTTACAAGAGCAGCGTTATCGCTGATGCTAGGTCGGCTAGCCGACTACGACTCTGTAGCTGCATGCCCTAAAATTGCTTATGCTAAGCTTTGCGCATGTTCCCTAGCTTTAGTTCTAATTTAAAAAAAGACAGACAAAAAGACAAGTCCGTTCAACATTACTGCGGCTTGGCCGTCAACTTATTATTTAATATATTATTACTGAACCACAAGTCCAGTGAATGGACTTAATTTCCCAACATAATCTTCTCTGAAGTCAGTTATCCACTGGAGGAGACACAGGTGGCGCAGGATCTACATCAAGGGATAATTATTACAAATTATTAAACAGGTGAAACAAACTACTAGTCCAAGGCGTATTACAGATTAACTGTAACAGTTGTCTTCTCAGGAAGAGCAAGCAATTTCACTTTCTGGCATTGTGGCTCAGCAATGTAAAATCAATAATGAATCATGTGTGCTATGGCTTGTGCCGGAGCAAGTATGCTTATTCTCTTCTGAATAATGGTCAAATACAAGCTGAACTTCAGAACTGGAAACAGAGTTCTGCAACAACAGTCGGCAAGTCGACATAGCATAAGCGATAACGCTGCGACACGGGCAAAGGCTCTGGTTGCCGACACTCACCATTTCGATCAGAGTGCCCCCAACATTGCGTGCGACAACACTCGTTAACTACTCCCCCTATGAAAACATGAGTGTCCTTGCTCTTGACGTCCTTTCAAATTGTCTTAGAATTCGTCTCCTAATAAGTCGTTGAAAGGGGAAGATAATGGAAAAATTGTATAAAATCTACATAAAACTAATTACAAAATTTGGACACCCTGCCATACAAAGTATAATTTGATAACTGGTTTTCAATCATTTTTGCTATATATTCAGATCTAAAAAATTATGACTCTAGCTCGTATAAATGACGGACTGGGCTGTATATATACTTTATGGAGTCTACCATGCCTCCGTCTACCTTTTGCATAGATGCATATTATACCCTGATTTCCCGTTGAAAACGAGTTCAGGGTAAACAAAGATACATTTAAAAACAAGTAAGAAGCTGTTGTCGGGGTCCTTGACTAGACTGATTTTCAATATTTGCATCAAGTATTAAAAAAAGCAAATGAACCGAGCATATGGCGTTTACGATCGCGGCCTCCATCAAATCCACCATTGCACTGCTTGAGAAATAATTTGTAAGTTTCAAGTTATGTTAACAATTCAAGCATAAAAGAATACAAACATTTAAAATTCCGTGCGCTTGGCGCTGCTTGACATGAGCTTTTGTAAATTGGCCAACGTTTTATTTAATAACTTCTTTTTTACTTAATGGACTTAAATGAAATTTTCATAATTTGAAAGAATTTGGAGCATGTATCCAAAATCCAACAAAAACTTGCATAAAATATATATTAAGCTAAATACAAAGTTTTGAGGCTCTAGCTCTTAAGACGTACTAGATATAATTTGTTGACTTCATTTCGATTATGTTTTTATTAGATAACAATAAAACGGTAATAGTTGTCGAATATTTGAAACAAACAAAAAGTTTCTAGCTCATAGATGTTCACACATACGGACACACAGACAGACGGACAGTGCTCAATCGACTCGGCTTATCGTCCTGATCAAGAATATATATACTTTATGCCTGTTACACATATTTGCACCAAACCATTATATCCTGATTTCCCATTTTCACAAAAACGCAAGTAAGAAAACTCTAGTCGGGGTGCCGGACTTGGGGGTACCCTGATTTCAGTCCTATCTGCGTTGTTTAATATTTTCCTTAGTTTGTATCGAGTATTAAAAAAAATACAAATAAAAACTGACATTACCACACCAAGATTCGAACGCAACGTGCATCAGCTCTACCAACACCGCCACTTCATAATTAAAAAAAAAAATTAATAAAAAATGTCTCGTCGCCGCGACGATTGAACCCGAGATTTAATTGGCCAAACATTTTGTTTAATAACTTCTGTTTTACTTAATCGATTTTAAAGAAATTTTCAGCATATGCTCTACATGTTCTATTGACTTCGTAGAGATGCAAACGCCCTCACATAATGGCCCTAGTTCCAACAGAACTTAAATTTTAAGAATTTGGAGAAATTTGGAGCTGGTATCAAAATCCAATAAAAATCAAAATTGCATAAAATATACATAAAACTAAATACAACATTTGGAGGCTCTAGCCGTACGATATACCATTTAATAAATAAATTTCCCATTTTTAATGGGATCAGGGTATAAAAAAACCCACACACAAAAACATTAATTAATAATTATAAGAACTGAACATTCTCGAAATACCTTCTAATTTTGATTGGACAGAATTAATAAGTTGTAATAATTTTTTAAAATATATTTTCAGTTGGACTAATAGTTTTCATGACATACAATGAAATCAAAATAATTATGTATTAAAATATTCTCTCCTTTCCATATACTATAAACAATCCTCTGTCTATATTAATATCATTGGGACTACAAATATTATAATTTACAAGAACAATGCAAATGCAATATATTAAAATAACTTTACTTACTCTGGTATCCATATATCGACTACAAATTGTTTAATTAATTCACAGAAGCTTCGTTGATTAAGACGTAAGTGAATTAATCGAACAAAGTTAAGGGCACCCATCAAAGTAGAGCAGCAATTTTCCGTTATCATTATTATATCTCCAAAATTGTTTAACAAAAAAGATGTTTGAAAGCAAATGGTAATGCCAACCGATACAATCACATACCACGCCCATATATTGTAAATCAATGCAAAGAGATAATTTCGAGGCTTATGTGTTGATGAAACAGTTTCAAGAGGCCAAGAGCCATTTAATTTTAACCAAATGCACTGAAATGGCATTCGGAAGTTTGGATCTTCATACGGTAGTGGATTGAACATCGTAACTGATTTCAAATTTATTTACAGCAGTGGTGTACCAGCTATAAATGCTCCCATAGACAAAAATTGTGGGAATTATAATATGAATTATAGACGATGTCATTAATAACCTGTTTGATGTTAGGAATTAAAATACGGGTAATATGAATGAATATCTTATTAAAAAGCTGACACATGAAAATAATTTGTACTGAAGTGAAACAATAAACATTAATTTGTGTGAAATTAACATATGTTAAAGTATAGGTTAACACATAGATACAAGGCTATAGGAATTAATAAAGTATCGTATTGCCGGGAAGGAACTTCTGTTCTACCAATATTGCTAAATTATTTCCGAGCTTTTCGGGGAGTACATAAAGATAAAATTTGATGAGATGCTGTAATGTAATTTTGAATTTAATGTGATTAGAATGGCGTTCCATACCCTTAGCTCAAGAGAGGGGAACGGCAGCGTCAGCTTTAAGTCTTTTCAAATTTCCGCACGAAAAGGAACTAGCGAGAGTGGTCAGTCTTCACAGGTTGACGGAGGTGTTTTGCATTTGCTAAAAAAAACTGTGAGGTGCAGTTAAAAAAGTTAAGGAAACTCCCTCAAGAAAGTGATATATAACAAATTACTGGCTCAACGGTCTGCCTCTACAAATCCCAATCAGTCAGACAACGCTTAACGGACGCAACCCGCTGCAAACACGAAGGTGCCACATGGAAGCATGAGTAATAGCGACTCTGCTTGTAAAAAATGAGGTAAAACGGCTAGCTCACATATCATACTCGATGTGCTGGTGGAATACAATATCCTAAAATATATATGACAAACAGTTAAGAGCTTCTTCAAAGGTATAACACAAGGAAGGGCCCTGAAACTCATCAAGTTTCAGTATTAAGGGTCATAATCCATTACAGCAAAGAGATCCGAAAAAAGTATCTTGGCATCATGTTAAATGTTAAGAATGACTTTTGGCTCAGTGCTCTCTATTGATGAGTGTTGTAAGGTCCGCCATCCTTACGCAGCGCCATTTTGGTAGAGAGCAAAGAAAACTCCTAGTTACAGCGGAGGTATTTGCTCCACCTATCGATTGAGCGCAATCCGAAATCTTGAACTACACGTTGAACTGGAACCTTATATTAATCGTAAACATTTTTTTCTATTACAGATTCATTCAGGATATGGATGATTCCGAACATAATTCGAAAGTGGACTTTTTCTAGAGGAGGGGCTATGCCTGGAGGATAAACTAGGCCTATCCTGCAGGGGGCCTAGTGAAAATCATACTGGAGACAGAGGCAGCTTGAAATTCAAGCAGCTCTTTCGATTAGACAGAATCCTAAAATGAATATAACGAAATAAGAAAAACAAATACACAAACAATTGTTAATAAGAACTAAAAATTGTCGGGGTGCTATCAAATTTTAATTGGATATAATTAAATAAGTTGTTATCATTTTTGAAAATATATATTCAGTTGGACTAATAGTTTTCATGACATACAAAATAGTCAACCTATATATATTCTTTTCTTTAAATATAATTTAAAAATAATTGTGTGTATATTATCATCATTAGGACTACAATATTATATTTACAAACACAGTTAAAATGCAGGTTATTGAAAACCCCTTAATTGCCATAGTATCCATATATCGACCACAATTTATTCATTTAATTCACAAAAGCTAATTAAGACGTAAGCGAATTAATCGATCAAAGGTTAGGCATACCCTGATCTTAGTCCTGTTTGCTTTTTTTATACCCTGATCCCATTAAAAATGGGAAATCAGGGTATAATGGTTTTGTGCAAATGTATGTAACAGGCAGAAGGAGGCGTGGCAGACCCCATAAAGTATATATATTATTGATTAGGACGATAAACCGAGTCGATTGAGCCCTGTCCGTCTGTCTGTCCGTCCGTCTGTCCGTCTGTCTGTCCGTATGTGTGAACGCGTGGATCTCAGCATCTATAAGAGCTAGAGACTTGAAATTTGTTTTGTAGGTCCGTGTATAGCACGCGCAGGTCAAGTTTGTTTCATATATTCGATAACTGTTCGCATTTAATTGTTATCGAATAAAAACACTATTGAAATGCAGTAAATAAATTATATCTCGAACGTCTGAGGAGCTAGAGCCTCCAAATTGTATTTAGTTTTATGTATATTTTATGCAATTTTGATTTTTGTTGTATTTTGGATACCGGCTCCAAATTCCCCCAAATTCTTAAAATTTAAGTTTAGTTGGAACTAGGGCCATTATGTGAAATTTTTTTCGTATATGATCTACCTTTTCTATTGGATTGGATTAATTTATGTTACCTAATTCCAACTGAACTTAAATTTAAAAAATTTGCGGTAATTTGGAGCAGGTATCCGAAATCAAACCAAAATCAAAATTGCAAAAAATATACATAAAACTAAATACAACATTGGCAGACTATAGCTCTTAAGACGTAAGAGATATAATTTATAATTTGCACTTCGATTATGTTATTATTCGACAACAATAAAACGGCAATAGTTGTCGAATATTTTAAACAAGTCTATAGCTCTTATAGATGCTGAAATCGTCGCGTTCAAATATACGGCATATTGTCTGTCTATTCGACAAAGACGGCAATCATTATTATTGCGTACATGATTATCTTCATCTAAAGCTAATTGTAAATTTTATTTTGAATATATATAGCTATTAAAGTTTCAAGTTTCATCAATGTTACCAATACTCTGTAAAATTGGTATTTATTTCAATTTCAATAAGATATAAACTCTTACCTGATTATTTTGTTGTGGTGTTGTGAAATGCTTTGAAGTTCGCGTATTATTTTTAGGTTAAGTTCTTCAGTGTTAGTTCCGAAAGACATATTTTTTTTGCACTTATCCACTAAAACGTCGATGCGTTTATGCAATAAACGATATTGTCCACATGTGTATGTTGTAAAAAATCCAAAAACTGAATCCTCAGCAAACAGTGTGGTCACCACACAAATACCAGCATACGCAGTAAATATATATGTTAGTGTATAACGTATCCAACTATTGTATGGATCGTACGGAAAAACCATCTTATAAGGAAATGGCTTTACTGGTACATCAGTCCCCACAATGTAAAATAGTTCCACTAATGGTAGTACGCAGTACATTAGTATAAGGCAAGACAATAATATCGTCATAACTGATGCTGATGCTGATGCTGGCGTTTTTGCTACTGTTAAATACAAAATAAATTAAGTTTAATATTTATTGCAACTGAATTGAATCAATATAAAAATGTTAAATTCATTAGGTGCATATAAAGATAAATTTAATTAATGAGGTAAGCTAATATTAAGTAAAACTCAAAACTAAATTAAATATGAGTATTATGCATGATGGTGCAACGTTTGTATCCTGTGTTACTTCTTGTCCTAACGGATGCGAGCTGGTTGAGCCATGTCCGCCCGTCGGTCCGTCCGTATGTGTGACCGCGTCAATCTAAGCATCTATAAGAGCTAGAGACTTGAATTTTTTTTGTAGGCTCCAAACTTTGAATTTAGTTTTATGTATATTTCGTTCAATTTTGATTTTAATTAGTTGAAAATGGGAAATCAGGGTATAATGGTTTTATGACAAACTATGAAACAGAGCCTATTAAGTATATATATTCTAGATCAGGACCAAAAGCTGAGTGGAATGAGCCCTGTCCGTCCGTCCGTATGAACGCGTCGATCTCAGCATCAATAAGAGCTAGAGGCAACAAATTTTATTGGAGGTACCAAGTACCGCCTGTACCATCACCATCGCTGTATTACTCAGATGGAAATTTGCAAATCTAAAGTAAACTATCAGCTGACAACTCAAAACACATTTTGATCATCATTTGGATAATAATACAATATAAATGAATAACGCATTTGAATGTACATATGAAAAATCAACAAAAATCACATGAAAAATCAACAAAAATAATAATGCTGATTAGAATGCGCGAAGGAAAAATACTGAAGCCAGAAGACTTACGCCACGAGTTTACAAAACTGTAAAAATTGTTTAGATCGCCAACATCGACCATTTTTACAGAACCATTATATACAGATTTCCAATTTTTAATGTGTTCAGGCTGTAAAAAATTTTTACTTTAACGTTTTTGAAGTTTCTGAAAATTCAGCAGTAACGAAAAACGTTGCGAATTTTGATAAAAGATACAAGGACTAACTGTTCATAGGACGTTATGGATAACTCATATTTTGTATTCCCTGATCCCATTGAAAATGGGAAATCATGGTATAATGGTTTTGTGCAAATGTATGTAACAGGCAGAAGGAGGCGTGGCAGACCCTATGAAGTATATATATTCTTGATCAGGACGACAAACCGAGTCGACTGAGCCCTGTCCGTCAGTCTGTCTGTCCGCCTGTCCATCTGTCTACCCGTCTCTTCGTATATGTGAACGCGTTGATCTCAGCTTCTATAAGAGAGAGACTGAAATTTTTTTTTGCAGGTCCGTGTATAGCATGCGCATATCGAGTTTGTTTCAAATATTCGATAACTATTCGCATTTAATTGTTATCGAATAAAAACATGATTGAAATACAGTTAATAAATTATATCTTGGACGTCTTCCAAATTTTGATTTTGGTTGGATTTTGGATACCGTCTCCAAATCTCCCCAAATTCGTACAAAAAGTCTCTAGCTCTTATAGATGCTGAGATCGACGCGTTCACACAAACGGACAGAAAGGGCGCAATCAACTCGGCTTGTCGTCCTGATTAAGATTATGGGATCTGCCACGATTCCTTCCGCGTGTTACATACATTATCATAAAAAAATTACACCCTGATTTCCGATTATTTAATCTGGTATCCATATATCGCCCTCACATTGATGAATGCAGCACATTAATATATCTTCAAAATTGTTTAACAAATAAGATGTCTGAAAGCAAAAAAGCTATAAATGTTCCCATATGAATTATAGATATGAACACGTCGATAATGGTGGTGGTGACGTCAAAGCGCAAAGTTAATGGGTC